ATGAACTATGGCCAACTGTTCCCTGCTACAACTCCTTTTGTCTGGAAGAGTCGATTTTAGATTATGATCTAATTTTGAATATTCTTCTCTTTTTGCCTGGCTCTTTAGCTGAACCAATGATGAACTTTCTCCTTCTTCTTTCAGATCCTTCTGGTATTGAGTGTACCTTCGTTGGATCTTCCTCATTTGGGACCTAGAAATCACTGGAACCATAATTGGTTCTTTCGTTTTCGGGTGCTTAAGCAGCACCCAATTGTTTGGAGCCACCAAAGGTGGTTTAACCATCCTACCTTGGTTTTCAACAATATTTCTTTGGGTAGATATCTCCCTAGGTTTGTTCTGCATAACAAACCAATCTAGAACTCCAGGTACCCACGAACCTACTGACCCGGCTGTTGAGCTGTTTTTTTCCTCCTTCGAAACCATCTTCGAAGCTGGCTGTGAAGGCCACTGCTTGGCCCTGACTTCCTTTTTTGGGCCTAACTCAGGCCTTTAATGAAGGTGGCCACTTTTCGTCCTGCGTGAGGTTGGTCTAGGAGGCCAATCTCTGGCTTTGATCCCATAAATTGAGCCCTTCTCCGACCTCCTTTCAGGATGACTGCTTTCCATTCTATAATAATTAGGTGGTCTGGACTCATATAAAGGCCTCTTGCCTTTAGAATGCATTCTAGCTGCTGTTGGCTCAGCCATTAATGGCTGCTGCCTAATACTAGTTGGATATGACCTTTTGTTATAAGCACTGGTTGGTTTAGGACGCCTCTGCACATCCTTGTAATATTGCATCCTATCAATTGGAAGCCCCTTCAACCACTTGTAGCTCAGTTTGAATCTAGGACACATTCTTTGTATGATAGCTGCTTCTAAAGAATCGTCATCCAATGCTTCTTCATCAGAGTATTTCCTCTGGTCTGAGAAACCTTGTTCAATAGCTGATAGATTTTCAGTGTCTTTCTTGACAATTGTCTGGCTAGCAACATGCATCTGCACATTGACTTCTTTCAATTCTTTCAAGGACAGGTTCTGGAAGTCTGACGTGATAACATTGGCTGCCACCTCTCTAATTTCTGGGAACGGATTGGTATCAATCCCCATGGCCTTTTCTGTTTTAGTTGGTAATTTCAAACTTCCCTTTCGAATCTGCTCTTGGATCCTGTCTCGAAAAATAATGTAGTTTTTAGTTGAGTGAGACCAAGAATTATGCCATTTACAATACACCTTTCCTTTCAGTTCCTCTGGAGATGGAATTTTGACTCCTTTTGGTAGCTTCAGAAAATTTACAGCAAGCAAACGATCAAAAATATCATCTGCCTTTGTTAAATCGAAAGAGTATTTCCTATAAAGGTCTTTCTTTTTAAACTGTTAGTCAATCGTTGTGTCTTTATGAATTAATGCTTCACATATCACACGTTCTTTTCCTACAATCTCTGCTGCATCAAGCTCATAATTAGGATCTCTATAATATGTCTTGTATGATGCATTACTTCGATCTTGTTCTTCTTCCAGTAATGTTTCATACCTAGACACCTTATAGGTTAATTCCACTAAGTCTCTAAACTCAGTTGAGTCAAACTTCTTTCGAAGCCTAAACTCTAGACCGTTTTGAGCCAATCTCATAAATTCAGGCTCTGGTAAGATGATCCTACATTTATTTCGTGCTCTTTTAAATCTGGCAATAAACTGAGTAGCCTTCTCATCAGGCCTTTGACTCAATCTTGCCAAGTCTGCCATGGAAACCTCTGGTTCTGTTTGGAAGAATTGGGCATGAAATGCCTCTTCCATTCTGTTGCCAAGTTTGGATAGAGTTAGGTGTAAGATTAATATACCATACAAATGCTCCTCCAGTTAGAGAATTTGGAAATAATCTTAATTTCATATAGTCATTATTGGTAAATTCACTACACTGAGCCGCAAATCTAGCAATATGTTCAACCGTTGACTGGTTTCCATTCCCATAAAAAAGGACAAAATCTGGTATCCTGAAACCTCTTGTGTATTCATGTACACCGATTCTGGGTATGGTTTCTTGTAGACAGGAGTTTGAACCCCCCGAGCCATTGGTCCACACATTTCTCTAACAATGTCAGCAATTTGGTCCCTAGGGACCATATTTTGTGCCTGTTGAACCACTACTGGAGAAACAAACACAAGATTTGGTGGACAACCTTGTGCTTGGAGTCCTCTTGGTCCATAGAGTGGTATGTTTGGGACTGGTTGTCCCTGTGGTGCTGGCTGCTGTTGAGGGTATGGATGACCTCTTTGAGCCTGTCATGCGAAAGGACTTGCGAAAGGTGCTGGAACAGGTGTTGTGTCTCTTCCAGTTATAGGAAAACCTTCCAACCCCCCGGGTATAAATTCGAATAAAGGGTTAGTGAACCCCCTCGTGCCAGGTATGGCTTCGAACATGGGATTTGGAGTCATCCTTATTCCATTTTCTTGTACTGGGCCAGATCTACCAATTTGCATGGCTTCACTGTTAAGTAATGAGGCATTTTGACTTGCATTAAGCCTCGAAATAGGTTCATACCAAGACTGAGGTGATGGTCTTTCATAGTTTTGATTACTAGTTTGACCATTAGAATGTCTATTAATCTGCATAGGCTGTTTATCTCTAGCCAATCTTTGCTGAGGGACATTTGAAATTTCCTCCATGTGTCTTGTATTTGTTGGTTGGTGGGTATTCATTTGATCCAAAAAGGATGTTGCCCACCTTTCCATTGTGTTCATTAACTGCTGTCCCATGGCATCTACTAGGCCACCCCATGGATTCATTGGCTGAGTAGATGGAACAATGGATGGTCCAATTCCTTGGCCTCGTCCAACATTATGAATATGTGGTACTTGTTTCGAAGTGCTGGTCTGTTCGACCATAAGTTCTGATGAAATTGGTGTTTCCATAGGATGTGTTATCACATTATCCTCTGGATTAGGTATTTCTATCTCTCATTCCACGCCTTCCTCCAAGCGTTCATTTTCTCCTTGTCTCCTATATCTAGCCATTTCAATTAGTCCCACCGGGCGTGCAAAAAATATATGTTGGCTTTTTTGGCTTTCGAAGGTTATTTTTGTTATTGTGAGCGTGCCAGTAAGGAATAATCAGTCCTTACAGAAATTTAATTGCCAACCAATTATCAGACGATTGTGTTTTAGTTCTTTCAGCCTCAATAAAGAGGACTTTTACTGGTGGCTTTGTTGCGGAGAATTAAGCAAACAATGATTAAATGAAGAACAGTTGTAGTATTTCATTAAGCAAAATGAAAGACTTACAAAGATTTGAATCAGTCTCGTAGAGATTTACAGTAACAAGCTACTTGAAAACTATTCCTATGAACGAAATGCAGAACATGAATTTGAAGTACAGAAATGTAAAGAACAAGAAATGTAAAACTGGAAAAGAAATAAAGTAGAATAAAACTAGTTTTTTGAATCTGAGTCTGGGGTTTTTTCTAGGGCCTTCTTTGTTATTTATACTTCTCAAGGATGACCATCGAACTGCACTTCTAACCGTCGAATCGTTCCTCTATGATCGCTGATCATGTTGCCTTATACTTAGCTCTATTATGCCATCACTTGCAGTTAGGCTTCCCTTCTGATTTTGAATTTGAATGTGAGTAACCGTTGCAGCTACATCATTTTGCATCTCTTTGCTAATCCAGTGCTACGCAGATCTTGTAAGAACCAATACTAACTGCCACGTGTACGATCACGATCGAAAACTTGAATAGTCTTCTCGTATTACCCTTATTTTGCCACGCGTTGAATTGTAATTGGCTTATATAAAATATGTAGCCAACAGTATTGATTAGTGTACTAAGTAGTGTACTAATTGATTATGTGACATAATTTAAGAGATTTTTAAATATTTGTAATGTGATTAATGAGTGAGATCAATAATAATGTTATAATTAATGTTAATACACTAATTGATGTATGTAACACCACTCTTATAAAAAGTCACATTATTACTGCTTTGTCTTAAGAAATGACAACATTTGCAATGAGGAGTCGCAAGACCGTACCAAAAATTCATAAATAATTTTAAAAATTTGACATGGACAACTAGAAAAGGCAACAATTAATAGCATAATATCATAGAAAAGTGATTTCACTCTTTTTCTAAAATTCAATATTAGTAGGTGTGTGGAAAAAAAATTTACCACGTGATAAAGATGATTATAGGAACATAGATGGAATTAGGAAAAGATTATGAAGGGTCATGCCCCCTTATAAATCGTAATAGTAAATCATGTTGTTAAAATGATTATAAAAAGAATAACGCTATATGTAGCAATTAGTGTACTAATTGACGATGTGGCATAATTTATGAGGTTTTTAAATATTTATAATGTGATTAATGAGTGGGGTCAATAATAATGTCATAACTAATATTAATACACTAATTAGTACACTAATCTATATAATAAGAAAGCTCTGTTTTTCAAACCAGATGGGATATCTATCTTAGGTGGCAATGAGATTGAAAGACTGAGATTAATTTGAAGGCTGTGTCTTTTTGCCTTTACCGTTGGATATATACTTCAATTTTGAAACCCATTTCAAACACATTTCAGCCTTTTTGTCATCTCTCTCTTCAAACCCATTTCACTGTTTCTCTTCACCGTTGGATATACCCTTCAATTTTGAAACCCATTTCAAACACATTTCAGCCATTTCACCATCTCTCTCTTCAAACCCATTTCATTGTTTCTCTCTCTTCAAACCCATTTCACTGTTTCTCTCTTCAAACCCATCTCTCTCTCTCTCTCTCTCTCTACAGTGGAAAGCCACAGATAAAGCATCGATCGAACGAATTGGGGCAACGATTACACTGAAGATCTCCTCGAATCAGGTCCATTTCTCTCTTTAATGCTCAATATACTTATTGGGTTTTCACTTCTCATCAAAATCTCATAAGGGTTCTCAATATATAATTCTTGGTAAGTATTCCATCTCACACTAATCACCCAACATCTTCTTAAGTCCTCCATTTTCCCTATCCTCAAATGGAAAACAGAGTTGATATTAATGATGAAGAAGAAGTTCTTCACATAGTCATGTTCCCGTGGTTAGCCATGGGTCACCTCATCTCATTCCTCCACCTCTCCACCACCTTAGCCACCAAGGGCCACCGCATCTCCTTCATCTCCACCGCCGGAAACCTCCGCCGCCTCCACCAAATCCCTCCCCGCCTCTCCCCTCTCATCACCTTCATCCCCTTCCCCGCCATCCCCAACTTACCACCCAACACCGAATCCTCCATGGACGCACCACACCACCAAGCTCAGCTCCTCAAAATCCCCTTCGATTTTCTCAAACAACCACTCTTAGATTTTCTCGAGAAAATTAGCCCGAACCCAGATTGGATTATCTATGATTATGCCTCTGATTGGCTACCGGGACTTGCGGCGGAGATGAGTGTTTCGTGTGCTTTTTTCAGCCTTTTTAATGTTGCGACGATGGTGTTTTTTGGGCCTCCGGCGAAGGTGTTGAGCGGGGATTGTGTGAGGAGCAGTGCAGAGGATTTTACGGTGGTGCCGAAGTGGGTGAAGATGGAATCAAAAATCGTGTATAGAGTTCATGAGTTGACCAAGTATATGGAGGGCTCCGAGGGTAACCAGTCAGGTATGAGCGCCGCCATTCTTGAAGGTTATGTCTTTTTTGGGTGGTTTTATCAGTTTATTGACTTTTCTTTTTCAAAATTTTTAAAATATTTTAAGTTATATTTTATTGAAGGTGAAAATTATTATTTTAGATCGGAGCAAGTTAATAAGATTCTTTTTTTACGTTCACATGTTCCTGTGTGATGACATGGAGCGAAAAAAGAACAGAGTAGGATAGAGTTTTTCTCACTTTTGGCATAGTGAGCTGCCGATGGAAGGCTCGCACTGCGAGCTATTAGCTTAGTGGTAGGACGCGTTTCTAATAATTGTGTCGTTGTGCTTGGACTGTGAGGGCTCTCAATCATATAGATAGTTCAATGTGCTCATCAATGCTTGACCCTGATATATGAATCATCTAAGGCATTAGTATGACATACGCCTCCTATTTGAACAGGAGTTTGAAACTAAATAAAGTGACTTAAAAATTTTAAAAACAAAAATAATAGATTTTTTGAATTTATTTTAAGTTTTTAAAATTTTAATTTTTACTTTTTAAATTTATTTATGCGAAAGAAATTTAAAAAATCGTTATAATCTATAAAAAAAATAGTAAAGAATAAAAAAACTCAGAAAAATGTGAGAAAGTTCCCAAACAGCCAGGTTATGGGGACAGTGTTATGTAGTTGTGCGCGGTGTGATTTGATCGATTTATGAGTAAAATTATAAATTAAATCGTAAATGGTGGATTGATAAAAATCGAATCACAGTTTGGGATAGTTTCAATTTGTTAATTGATTGAAAATAATTTTAAATAATTATCAAGTATTTACATAATATGTAACACTAATTTATATATTATTTTTCATATATGTAGCACAAATTAATTTTACATTATATTTTTCATATATATAACATTAACTTGGGACAAATTTCAAATCTTAAATCTCTTTGACATTGATTTTTACTTTGAAATTTTATTGGAGGTTAAAAAAATATGTTTATTAACTATAGTGGGACAAAATGGTTTCATAAACGAATTATAAATTCTAAATTGCGGAACAAATTAACCCACGATTAGCGAAATGGGTGATATTTTGCACAGTTCAAGTGTTATGGTCCTATGTAGGACAATTTTAAATGTAGTCTCATTCACGGACGAAATCAAATTGATTTAATAATCGTAACCATGTTATTTTATGACATTTATTTATAAAAATATGCACGGTAAAGATTATTAAAAAAATTAAACTAATTATTTTTGATAGACAAATATAATAAACTAACATGGGTATAATTATCAGATTGATTTTATTATTTATTTATTATGAATAATGTATACATTGTTGTTTAAAAAAGAAAGGTTCAAAACATTGAAGTGTGACTCATGATAAGCCTTATTCTTATTGAATAACCACAATAAATACATATATATATATATATATATACTGAAAATTGGTGAAAAGTCTAATTTAAAAAGGGTATAATGCATTAGATCCAAGGTAAAATCTTATTTGGTGATAAAAACATACTGAAAAAGTCATTGAAAAATTGGGGCAACGATTACACTGAAGTCATACTGAAATCTCATTAGGGTTCTCAATATGTATATGTGTATTTATGTATGTATATATATATATATATATGTACAAATTTAAAATAACTCTTCTTGAAATGGTTAATTTGAAACATTTCAAATTAATTTCCTAAGAAATCTGTCCCCGGACCGAAGTCTGTACGTATTTGTGTGTATAATATATATAATTTGCATTTTGGATGTATATATATGTATATGTGTATATATGTAAAAATTTAAAATAACTCTTCTTGCTATGGTTAATTTGAAACATTTCAAATTAATTTCCTGAGAAACATTTCCTGTTTGAATGAGTTATGTTATAAACATGTTAACATTTCAAAACTGTTCTTGAGAAATAGTTGCAGATGTTATGCCAATTGCTACAGGTCATGAGCGTGAAGAACTTTAGGCCGAACTCGAGGTATCCTATTGTTTATTCAGTTCAATTCATGTGTCTGATACGTATGTGTAATACCATATACATTTGATAGTTTGAGAGAGAATTGAATCTGAATTTAATTCAATTCTTTCATTTAGGGAAGGAATGTTCTGGAGATGAATTATCCAATTAGACCTTTTGGCACCAAGGTTTGAATTATTGGACCTTTGCTGTGTATTGTGATTTCTGCTTTACTTTGATTGTGCTTTCATTTGTATCCATTGAGTTTTGCTTTATTTATATGAATTTTGATCCCAATCTGATATGCATTTATAAAATTAATTTGAAATGTTTGATTTCTCACATGATTTTATGTATCTGCCACATCCAATTGTGGGAAATTATTTTTAATGTTTATAATTATTTTTCCAACATCTATAGTCCTAGGGGTGTGGATAAGCATCTACATCTGATGTTTATACATAGAAATTATTTATGTATCTGCCACATCTATAGTGGTAGATAAACATTTATTGTGGAAACATCATCCAATCGGTTTGATTCTTTACTGGGAAATGGGTGTTGATTTTCTATGGTTTTGAAAAGCTTTTGATTGATAAAATCATTGGAACAAAGACTTAAGTGGGTCTTTCTGAGTAGAGAATTCTAATTTTACATAACGAAACAAAGGGTGTTTTTTTTTTTAAAAAAAAAATAGAAATTGGAAGAAGAAAAGAAACATACATTTTTTGTGTTGGATGAGTTTATTTTTTGTGAGTTGAGAAAAGAATGGGTTGATTTTTTGTATTAATTTTTGACTTTCTAGCTAATGTTTCAAATTTAACTAATATAGATAGGAGTTAAATTAAATTTTTATTTTTATTTTTATATATGATTATGGATGTATATATCTATATAATAAGGAAGCTCAGACTTTTGTCCCTTTGTCAATACATGAACTGTTAGATTGAATTCAATCCAATGGCTCACAATGCCTAATCACCTTATAGTTTCTCTCTCTCTCTCTCTCTCACACACACTCCTGTCAAATTTTCAACACTCACTTTCAAATTTTGAACACAGACGTCTCTCTCTCTCTCTCTCTCTCTCTCTCTTTCTCTACATTGCTCTCTTCATCTTCTCTATTTCTCTATTCCTCTGAACCGCCCCAAGCCCCAACAAACCCATCTCAATCCCTCTGAACCGCCCGAAAATTCTTTAACTTCGCTGTTGGTCGAATTCGAGCTGTACAAGTGGCGTGGCTCCGACACAGAGGTAAAGAATTTCTCTCCATCATCCGAAGACCAGAGTCAGATGTGCGAACCCTCCTCCAAATCCACAGAGGTAAAGAATTTTTCTTTGTTGTTTAATCATATATAAATTATTGATTTTCTTTGTTGTTTTCTCTCATTTTTGGAGATTAATCTAGATAGCTTTTTGGGGATTAATCTGGACAGTCTTTTGTATCAAAATGGGACAATTTTTTGGGGATTAATCTAGACATTTTTTTGTTTTGGTTGTGAAGGTTTGTTTTGGTTGCCTATTTTGCCATTCTTTTTTTTTTGGGGTCTATTTTACCATATTAATCTAGACGGCTCTGTTTTTTTATTTCTATTTTGGGTCAGACAATTTTTAAACCCTTACTGTATTGTCATGTTTTTTTTTTCATCTTATTTTTTGTTCATCTTTTTCATCTTATAGAATGACCCAATAAGTCATGTATTGCGAGTGTTTGATAGAATGGCCCAATAAGTTTTCTTTATTTTGATTTTGGAAAATAAATTTTAACGATATGCATCCAAAGTTATAATCACAGTAGTTCATAATCTTAAAAAAAATCATAAATCCTCATAACTAAGGCCACTTAAATTTTATTAAACATCACAAAATTTTATAACCAAAACCACCATGGGTTATAACCATAAACACTACAAAGTTCATCATAAATTTGAACATCACAAAATCTTATAACTAAGTGCCACAAAACATTAGAATTCTGGTTCATGTTACACATTTTTTCAATGTTTATTTTATAACCAAAACCACCATGTGTATCAAAGAATTTTTCAATGTTCGATAACCATTCTACTAAAATGTTCGATAACCAAACTTTATTAATAAAATGTTCTGATTGTTGATTTTATCAAACATTTTATGAAACTTTTTATCAAACTTTTCACTGTGAGTATTGTTTTTCTTTAATTTTCTAGATGCATATAGGATTTTTCTTATTCATACATATTATCTATGTATATATACACACATATATATGAAGAGTTGGTTGGGTTCCACGAAACCCATTTACTTTGATTTAGTAGGAATTTGTGGGACTATTGTATTGAGTTACTCTATTGAATGGTTGTTGTGCCATTACTATTGTTGTGCCATTACTATTGTTTGGTTGTTACAAAAATGTTTGATAACCATTCTATCTTCCTTGCTTATTAAGTGTTTGATAAATTGTTTCGATGGAATTTACACACACACACAAATTGACTTTAACACACACCACACACATTGGTAATTTTCATCATAAAAATTCGTAACTTTCTTATGATGTGCATCCTTTTTTTTTTTTTGACAAATAAACAAACTTTATTAATATGATGTGCATCCTTTTAAGAGTGGACATTATTAATTTCCCCTAATATATGAGAAATCAATATTTAGCCAAGAGAATGCATTAAAAAAATATATATATTCAAAGAACAAGATTGAAACCTTAAACAAATAAATTATGGGTTTGTTTGGTGCTCTGTTCTGCAAAGTAAAGGTAATACTCTCATCTCTTTCTTAATAGATTATTGTGTGTATATATATTGATTACAATTTTTTTTTTCTTTGAAGCCATAGAGACCATCAATTGATCATTAGTGGAATAGAGAAAGAACGATTCCCAAAATCAAACTGTGAGTATTGTTTTTCTTTAATTTTCTAGATGCATGTAGGATTTTGGGTATACTTTTATGGGTTTTGTTGATTTTTCTTATTCATATATATTATCTATGTATATATGCACACACAAATATATGAAGAGTTGATTGGGTTCCACGAAACCCATTTACTTTGATTTAGTAGGAATTTGTGGGACTATTATATTGAGTTACTTTATTGAATGGTTGTTGTGCCATTACTATCGTTTGGTTGTTACTAAAATGTTCGATAACCATTCTATCTTCCTTACTTATTAAGTGTTTGATAAAATGTTTCAATGGAATTTACACACACAAAAATTGACTTTAACACACACCACAAACATTGGTAATTTCCATCATAAAAATTCGTAACTATCTTATTATGTGCATCTTTTTTTTTTTCTTTTTTTTTTTGACAAATAAACAAACTTTATTAATATGATGTGCATCCTTTTAAGAGTGGACATCATTAATTTTCCCTAATATATGAGAAATCAATATTTAGCCAAGAGAATGCATTAAAAAAATATATATATTCAAAGAACAAGATTGAAACCTTAAACAAATAAATTATGGGTTTGTTGTGTTTGTTGGGTGCTCTGTTCTGCAAAGTAAAGGTTATACTCTCATCTCTTTCTTAATAGGTTATTGTGTGTATATATTGATTACAATTTTTTTTTTCTTTTTTTCTTTGAAGCCATAGAGACCATCAATTGATCATTAGTGGAATAGAGAAAGAACGATTCCCAAAATCAAACTGTGAGTATTGTTTTTCTTTAATTTTCTAGATGCATGTAGGATTTTGGATGGGTTTTGTTGATTTTATAACCAAACATTGGTAATTTTTATCATAAAAATTCATAACTATCTTATGATGTGCATCCTTTTTTTTTTTTTTTGAAAAATAAACAAACTTTATTAATATAATGTGCATCCTTTTAAGAGTAGACATTATTAATTTCCCCTAATATATGAGAAATCAATATTTAGCCAAGAGAATGCATTAAAAAAAAAAATAAATTCAAAGAACAAGATTGAAACTTGAACTTAGGCTTTTTGTACAAGAAAAGCAATTGTCAAAATTATGGGCCAAAATTAAAGTCAAAAAAATAAATTATACAAAAACAAATCAAACCTGAACTTAGGCTTTTTGTACAAGAAAAGCAATTGTTAAAATTGACCTAGCCTACTTTGGTCAATTTGATAGAGATAAAGTCATTCTCATTCATTTTTTTTTTTTTATTTTTGCAATCTCATTGATTAAAAGTACCATATGTATATACTTTTATGGCATTCGAAGAATATTCAATAATTTTTCAAGTATGATTCAATTATTTAATGTTACAAGTCTATTGGACGAATTAATTTTTTTGTACAAATTTCTTTTCCTTTTCCTTATTGTGATTTAAAATTTCTTTTCCAATTGTCAGTGCTGAATTTATCTGTGAATAGAATCAGTAATAAACTTATCTTTTCCCTACAAATTTGGATACTCTATTTTTTGTCATCCCATAATCCCCACCATCACCAACAAAGCTCTCACTCTCTGCCAAATCAAATGGGGGTTAAAGGAAGAAATTGGTTTCATGTTAATACCCATTTTTATTTCATGTTAGTCAAATGGGTTGAGGATTGTTAACATTAAATGGGTTAATGTGAACATTAAGGTTAACCTGACTGTTAACATTAAGCTGAAAATAATATAGATGGTCATATTTTTTACTCATAGTTTCTAATTAGACAAAATATTTTTAGTATTTATTGAATACTTTTGTATTTACTTAAGCTTTATCTAGAACATTATTTAGTGGTGATTTGCAGAATGATGATGAGTTGTGGTGCACAGCGGATGTGAGCAGTGGTTTTGTTTTGGGATAATGTTCTTATACTTTTTTTTATTATTATTATTATTTTGAGAAGTGCTCTTCCTGATTTTGGATTTGGCGCTTCTTAATTTCTAAAAGATATATTTTGTTACTTTTTTCAATTGTTTTTGGTATTGGTATATATCTAAGAATGTTTCAGTTGCAGTAAGAGTGCTTCAAAGTTGAAAATCACTTCCAATTTACTTGCTTTATTTACATTTATGGTAATTTGTGTTTGTGGTCCTATATATCTTAATCATTTCTTTAAATTTGCTTAATAGGTTCATATTAGAGAGCTTGAGTAAAAAGTGAAACTTCTTAACAACCTTTCGCTTCTGAACATTGTGGTAAGTATCTGATTTGCATTCTTACTAAAGCATTTTAATATTTCCTTTTGTTGGTCATCCTTTAGAAAACAATTCAAATATCTTTCTGTGCCTATCCATAAATTCTTCAAAAGGTAAGGTATAACTTCCAATTTTTGATTGTAATAATAACATTCTAATGATTTGACCACATGCAAGTTTGTTCAAATATAAGTGATGATCCTCGCCACCATACATAGAACTTTAAACCCAAATCAAAGTCTAATTTTTCAAGGCAATTAAAATCCATTAGGGTTTCTGTTTTATAATTTGTTGTGGCATTGCTTTGTTTTCACTTAAAATCTATTGGCTTTGGTTTGGTTTCCTTTGCTTATATAGATTTATGAGCCATTATATTGGTTTTCATTTTTCTGGATAATTAATTATTTTCTTTTATCCACCAATGTCGATAGCTATTATGGGCAGTTTGAAAGTTGATTTCAATAATTTTTGACTTCCATGATTCTTTGATTTTGAAGACCAACACGTGCTCTACATAGTTGATTTGTGGAGATTCTCTCTCTCTCTCTCTCAAGATTTATATTTAATGGGTTCAATAACTTTTTCGTGGTGAGTACCCAAACTTAGATTTTTAGATATATTTTTCATGTGAATGGGTTGTTATTTTGTGCTTTTATTGGTATATTAGTACAGGATTTTGGGGTTTTTAGTACCATTGTACACAAAGGGGTTTTCATTTGAACCTTTCTCACCTTTGTTTCTTCGCCCCAATATTTAATGTACATTTGTAATTTCATCATACACCACCAGTTGAGTCCACGTGTGTTTGGATTTTGTTTTAGGCTGAGGATTCATAATGGAATGATTCCCACTCACTCCCACCCCCTATCTCAATTTTGGTTTTTTTAATTGGTACAAATGGAATCAATTTCCATGGAATTCGAAACTTTACCAATGGAAGCAATTTAAAGTTGAGGCATGAGTTATAGATATAAAAGGTAAATTCATGACTTAATTTGTTTTATACTTATAGAAGTTGAGTTGGAGTTTTTATTTACTAAGATTTCAAATTCATGATTAATGATTAATTTCAAGTTTTTATTCAAATTCATGACTTAATTTCAAGTTTTTGTTTACTTATAGAAGTTGTGTTAATGATTAATATTTGAAATTTTTTTTTCCAATTAATTGGTTTTTAATTTCATAACTTAATTATTTGGATTTTCAATATCATCCAGTTCAATTTTTGATTAATCTTATTAGCAAACGTCTTCTTATTTACATAAAATCCTCTAATTGGTTGCTTAGAATTTCATCATTATTAGTTGGTTTAACAGAGAAGCCTTCTATTTGTTAGCATGCTTTCAATTTGATTTCCAAATTCTATTTTTTTTCATAGTGTAATGATTTAACTATGTTCATTGTGGAATCTAATCTCTATTTGTTCTTGGTATTATTGGTTGGTAGGCTATTGATATTGACATAAAACAGTGCATCTTTAGCTTAAATTTTGTATTATTAGTTTGGCACCTACATATGTGTGTGGTTTTGATTGATTGCTTGAATTAGATGGTTTGATTCTTGGTCTAAAGAAACTAACAAAATGCATAGGACAACAAAGTGCAATAGCTCATATCTTTGTCAGATTAATTCAATTCAGTTAAATTAATAGTATTGGGTAATAGTAAAATGAATATATACTGTCTTTTGGGTATAAATAGGACAGTTTCATAATTTCATTGTAAATTTTATCATTTTTACTTGAATAATCAAATGAAATTAGGAAGTTTGAACTAAAAAGTTTTGTGGATAGGGCTGTTTTGTTGAGCATTGCTCATTTGGGACATTTAATTTTGTTTTTGCATGTAATCTTTGTTATTAAGTGATTTTGAATAGAGCTTCAATTTCAATTGAGTTGTTAATAGTTGTTGATTCACTTCCTCCCTCTCTCAACTAAATCCCAATTTGCTTTTTAATTTTTAATTTTTATACTGGTTTGGTTTTGGATTTAGTTTGTGTGGAATTCAAAATAGAAAATTGTTATTTTTTTAAGTTGAGTTGAAGGTGTGAGATGTTGTGGTGATGACTGAAACTTGGTTTTGGAGTACTTGCCACCATTGACTGAATTTCATCATAACTTTTCTAGCATTTTATACTACTGATTTGGTTTCATTTGTGGGTTTTTGATTATATCACGTTTTTTATACAAGCGTGATAATGCTAATTACATTTTTTTTAACTTAAACACAAAATCATATTTGAACTATTATTTTTTCCTAAGTGGGTTTGGCATAATTGGTAGTTTTGCCCACTTTCCTAAATTGTGGAATTTACGTTTTTATCATTAAGTTGATCGTTAAATTGTAATTTGTGAACTTTATCATTTCTTCTTCCAAAATTTTCTTTGTTAACATCTAGGCGATGACACTGGATGTTCAGTTCAAATATCAGTTCAATTTTTAATTTGTAGTTCCTAATGTGCCATTATGGAGCAACAAGAAGATTTCAGAAAAATTATGGAGTAACAACCATTTGGGTGCTTTTTGAATGGCTAAGTTCTCTCTCTCTCTCTCTCTCATGTAACATCAGCCACCGAAATTGAAGTTGGGTTGATGTTTATAAGTTTGATATAGAGGAATTAATGATGTTGACATGCCCAATAGCCACTGCACCCACTTAGTCTTTCCTCTTTGCCGGTATGTAAGCACTACTTCCTCAAATGGCTTTTCTTAAAATACCACTCTCTACTCTTTAAAATTCTCTTACTTATTTTATTTTTTCCCCCTTCTATTGTTCATTTTCATCACTTGAATTACAGGCTGTTAGGTGATAGAATATACAAGTGGGTGACATGGGTTACACAATTGGGAGACAACGCGTATGTAACGTAAAAAGCCTTTTCTTTTAACTATCATTCCTTCTTTAAATACTATAAATGTAATGGATAGAATGAATTTATTTAACGTGAAAAGATCTAATGGTTCCATTTGAAAGATATTTGTTTGTGAGACTATAGTTCCCTTTGAAAGATCAACTGGATTTGCAAATGGATCTTTTGATATTTTTCAAGCATCATGCATTTATGGTGGTGTGCTACTGGCAATAAGAAATAATCAGATCTAAAATGCATATAGAGATGTTGAACCAAGTTTAAAGTGAGACTACACTTGAGGCTATACATATAGAATGCATGATTATTTATTTTTTAGTTTCAAATTAATTCATGAACTATATGTATTAAGTAAATCTCTCATGATTTCATATTGTAATTACAAAGTAAATGGACAAGGGAATTAAAAATGAAGAATTATTAATATGAAGAATTATTAAAAATGAAGAATTATGTGTATATTGAAAGTTTCGTATATACTGTGACATGGAGTTTAACCTTGAATATGAAGAATTATTAATGGATTGAATAGATCATAACTACAATGTGGTGAATTTTTACCAGTATGGAAGCGCTACATTAGTTTGTCTTAACTTTTATTTTTCATTGGTCAAAAGTGTATTAACTTGATTGTGATTTTTTTTTTAAAACTTGGAGTGCCGTAGGCACGGGTCATCCACTAGTTAATGCATGTAACACCACTCTTATAAAAAGTTACATTCTTACTGCTTTGTCTTAAGAAATGACAACATTTGCAATGAGGGGTCGCAAGACCAAACCAAAAATTCATAAATAATTTAAAAATTTTGACAAGGACAACTAGAAAATGCAACAATTAATACCATAATATCATAGAAAAGTGATTTCACTCTTTTTTCTAAAATTCAATATTAGTAGGTGTGTGGAAAAAACAATTATCACATGGTAAAGATGATCATAAGAACATGGATGAAACTAGGAAAATATTATGAGGGGTCCCCCTTATAAATCGTAATAGTAAAACATGCTGTTAAAATGATTATAAAAAGAATAATGTTATATGCACCAATTAATGTACTAACTAATGTACTAATTGATGATGTATCATAATTTAAGAGATTTTTAGATATTTATAATGTGATTAATGAGTGGAGTTACTAATAATGTCATAACTAGTGTTAATACACTAGTTAATACACTAATGGATGTAACACCACTCTTATAAAAAGTTGCATTATTACTGTTTTGTCTTAAGAAATGACAACATTTGCAATAAGGAGTCGCAAGACCAAACCAAAAATTCATAAATAATTTAAAAAATTTGACATGAACAACTAGAAAAAGCAACAATTAATAGCATAATGGACCCGTTTGGTAGAGCTTATAAGCAGCTTAAATCAGCTTATACATTGTTTTAAGCTGTTTTGGTGTGTTTGGTAAAACTTACAATCACTTTTTGTAGCTTAAATTAAGCCAAAAAAGTGCTTTTTGGCTGAGTGGCCTCCGGAGTGCTTAACTCATCAGCTTAAGCGGGAAGCTACAAAATTGAGAGGCAAAATTACTTAAATGCCCTTTACTAATTTGAAGTATTACCAAGTTGCCATTATATAAACCACCAAGCATCATTGTTCATTCCTTGAGAGAGAGACAGAGGCGATTTCCGGCGAGAGGCTAACCAGTGCTCTTTCTCTTAGCGATCGAAACCCTAGCTTCGCGATTTCCGGCAAGAGGCAAACCAAATCTCTTTGCTCTCTCTCTCTCTCTCTCTTAGCGATCGAAACCCTAGCTTCATGATCGAAATCCTAACTAGATCGACTGCGTGAAACCCTATAGTCACGATCGACTCTTTCAGATCTCTTCAAACCAGATCTCTTTTAGATCACGATCGCAATCTGAAACCCTAGAGTCACGATCGACTGCGTGACGATTGACGGTGACAATCAACCGTCTGTCGTCATTCGGCATTGGTCCATCGTCGATCGGCTGCGGTTCTCTCTCCGACAATGGATTTCAGTGTGTTTTGTTTGTTTTTTGTTTTTTTTTGTTGTTGAAGTTTTCAATGTTTTTTTAATTAAAAAATCATAATAATAATTAAGCATTTTAGACATTAATGAAATAAATTTTATATTAATTGATACTA